TTTTTTTTTTTATTTCTTTGTAATCAGAGAGAAGAGAGAGGCGTGAGGAAGAGAGCTATTGTAACCCTATTCTCCATTGCCAGTAAAGAAACTCTCATTATGTTGCGGTTGGTTGTCTCTTTCTTTTGTGTTTTCGTAGATTGCTTTTAGGGTTTTCTACACAAGGTCTATATATAAATATATATATATATAACAGACACAAAAGTTTGCTCTGGTTTTTCTGCTAGCTCTCTGTAAACATACGACTGGAAACTGGACAGAGGGGAACTAAGATGAAATCCAGAGATAGCTGATATTACAAGGTCCTTTTCTTACAAAACTACTCAACGAAAAGCATCATACCTGGAAAGCAGATGATGGCATTAAATCTTCATCCAAAGACTCGCCTTCACCCTCAACATTAACATAGCTACCCGAATCCAACCTTACTCCAATATCATTAGCAGACATAACCTTATCCACAAAATGCTGACAAAAATAGTCAATAAGTTGATCTGATGCTTTCTGAATTGAGGTCATCCAATTAGAAATCTCTTTCTTCTCAGGGCAATCCTCATCAAATAATTTGGTAAACCCAAATTTATTTGTAGCAATGTTTAGGAAGACGTGGGTGGTAAGTGATAATGAATTGGCCAAAAGAGAAAGCTGTTGGGATAGTGTTTTTGCAGGATTAAATCTCTGTACCCCTCTTTCAATAGTATCTCTATTGATTGAAATGGCTCTTCTAAGGATGTCAATATACAAATAGAAGAGATCAGCAAGTCCATCAAGGATTGGATTTTCCATTTGAAAATTTGTAACCAATGGGAATGCATCTTCCATAATGGCCTGGACATAAAAAAGAAGGTGCAACAGGTGCTTATTACTCTGCCATGATTCCATGAAGACAATTAGATGGAAACCAATCACTAGAATAACTCAATATATTATTATCTTTTCAGTTTCTTAGTAAATTGTTTAGAATATATTTCCAGTTCTTTTCTGCTTAAGCGGAAATAAGGAGTACAACTAAAACCCTAGATGAACAAAGTTGAGTTCTTGCACCGCAGGAAATGAGCCCAGGAAGTTATAGGAATAAACTATATTTAACATACCCCATGCACATAACATATTGGTTTTAACCTATTTTTCACTGAACCTGTCATCTTGGTTATGTCCCTAGGTAGCACAAGATTTCCACAATGTAATTTCAGGATTAAAGTTATATGAAGCACGAAAGTAATCAAGTATACTATGATACAATGGAAATGAAAAAGTCATAGTCCATAGGATCATCACTGTACATTGAAATTGTGGATGGTGATGAAGAAAGAGTGAGACCCACCAGGTTTGTCCATCATGTCAATGAACTGTGATGACCAAATCTTTCAATAGTTCATACTTTCTCAAGAAGTAATAATGATCTCCCAAGTTTTACTGTGAAAGAACTCTAACATACCTGAATCATTGTAACAAACTTGCGTCCACTGCTAGTAAGCAAGTAAAACTCCAAATTGTCTGCATTATCCATGTCAGAGAACTGTTGTTCAAGAATTCCTGAAATGGGAAATGTTCCAAGGACCCACCCATCATTAGCTGCAAAAATGGCAATAACCTTTTTATAATGGTCCATATGTGCATTGAATGCGCGCTTCATGCATGGGCGAACATTTTTTATCAAATAAGGACATAAATATATTCCCTCAGATTCCAGCAAAGAGCAACAAGACAATGCTAGCTCCATGGCTTCTAAAGCCAAATCAAGCCCACCTGTAGTCTCTGAGATGGACACTGCATACTTACTAAAAACATGAACAAAAGCCTCAATTTCTTCTCGGGCCCATTGAACAAGTTCTGAAGCATAAGGGGATGTCTCACCAAATATAGATTGAGAGCTCCTTGCTGCTTGGGAAATCAAAGTAAACACCAACTTTACCAATTGTTTGCCATATGTTCCATGCAAAAAGGGTTTTGTAAAATGTAACTCTCGAATACTGGAGGCAAGCTTGGAATGAAAAATTTTGAGCAATAATAAATGTGTTCGATGACTGTCTTCAAGCCTGCAAAGTCCAGATAATGCTTTGTAAAACTCAGGTGCGCATACTCTTGGGTGTTCAGCTACTTGGGCCAATTGCTCTGCAAGCCTAAACCTCCTTTCAGATATTGCAGAATCAAAGAATAGCAAGGCCTGTGGTGGGAACTCATCCTCATCTTCCAAGGATCGTAAAACCTCAGGTTGATCCTCGATTATAACTAAAGCTTCATCTACTCTGTGCTCTACGAGAAGAGAATCCAAAATCTCCGAGATACTATTGGTGTAGATCTCTAGCTTGGATAGAGGATGCGGCTCCACATCTACAGTTTCTCCAATGATAGCTTCCACTGTCTCTTCGGATAAGACCTCTATATAGATATTGTTTGTTAGGTCTTTCACGAGCTTCCGCTGTGTTGATGCATGATGTCCCAGTTCCATCAGTTCTTTCTCCAGGTCCCTAGCTTCTTTGAAAATTCTGCTTATGGAAGGAGAAAGTCCCTTAGTGTTACAAAGCAGTGACATAAGAATAGTGTGCATGATACTCTCTCATGGACTATGGAGAAACCATTGTCGATTGGGTCATCTCTGTCCATTAAAAGTGACAGAAGGTTATAAAGAGAGAGTGGGACCCACCATTGTGGCCTTCTCTTGTTCCAGCGGGCTGCACTCTCTCGCCATGACCATTGTCACATATATAGACATTGACCTACCCAAGGAACTGTGGTTTTGCCTCAGTCATCTGCATTACATTGTTCTTTACCAAGAGTAAATATCACTTTTAACATAAGGAGACCAAATTTTGTTAAGAAAAGAACAAAGCTTACCAGACAATAGTAAAGAGTATCCTGCAGTAAGAAAACAGAAAATTTCCACATACCACGGTGGCATGACACTAGAACCAGGTAAGTGGAGAACAAATTGTGCAAGTGCATTTAATGTGCATTTGGGTTTGAAATGAATAAAATGTGCCCAAGAACCAATTAACAAGCCACGTAGTGGGTCCAAGTCAGGAGTGTATTCTACACATGAACTGGTAATGAGATATGTTCTTGACTGAAAGCTGAACCAAGTACATCTAGGGAAAACCATCCAAATGCTTGCATTTCTGAAGTAAATAAACAGACACCAGTAGTTTCAAAATACTAGAAAACTGCAACTGTTTTCTGCATATGGAACAGATTGGTCCTCACAGCAAGGGGACAATTTTCAAACAGGAGAATGAAATAAAGGCATGAAATCAAAAGCTTTTTTCCAGAAAAATTATTTTCCACACCCTTATATGTCAACAAATTCAAGAAAGTACCTGACTTCATCTGGAAATGGAGACTAGCAAGGTAACAATTACATATCAAAGACTCCAACTTTAGGCTCTGTGCATTTTGGTATAAAAAAGCTTGAAAAATGCTACAAAAGAAGCTGTGATCAGCAACATCTACCCAAATTCATCCCACCAATGAGAAGAAAATTACCCGATAAATGCAGAATAGTTTGAAGAAATGCTTCGTTGAAAATCTTCACTTGATTTCCTTCTTAGCTCCTGGAGCTCGGAACAAAGACGACTTATCCCCTGCAAAAAAATAAAAATAAATAAATTAGACACATATTGCAATCAAGAATATTTCAACCTGTCACAAGATTTAAGCCTACTGATGTTATCCCTGAGCTTTCCAGAATTTTTATGGAATATAGATTCAAAAGAATCTGGAAACCAGCAACAATGGCTTTGTTTTGGAATAGGGGCAAAGACAGTATAAATTGGTGTTTCAGATATATAGTCATTGTTGGGAATCAGGCATGGATTGGCTACAGTGTTGAAAATGCAACACGATAACCCATGTTCAAATCCTACTGCTGACATACCCACAAGAAAGAGAGATATATAGCCCATGGTTTGTGCATTCTTGCTGTAAGAACCATATAATAAGCTTAATGCCCAGAGATGAAAAAAATGAGTATATGGCTTTTCCTTTACTAGAATCATTGCCAGGTACAATTGCCTTTCAAGCAACGAAAACCAATCTGAAAATTTTATATTCCTTGACTCACAAAGAAATTTAGCATATGCGGCGCGTGGGTAATTAACTAGACTCATTGTACGTTATGCTAAGTAGAAAAGAGGATCACTAATTTCAATACAGTGCATAGGTCTTGTACATATCAAAAGGACCAATAATTTTAGAATGTATCATTACATATTTGTATTAATGATCACCCATATTTGGGACTAACAAATGTACAAATTTCACATGCTTACAGATTTGTGTCAAATATGATGTATATGCACATGAGTCCAGAATATGCACAAATTTCCAAACCTTGTATGTGAGAAGATAATTTTACATGTATGTGAATAATATGGTATCTGAAGATGAATTTGATGAAGCATTCTTAATTCTTTATTGTCTATCCATTGATCGAGCATGGCGTTTAGGATAGACAACCAATTTTTAAGATGACCACCAAGATGATGTTAGGCAAAAAAAAATCAGGTATATATACAAGGTTACATATTATGGGTTACTCCTGTGCTGTATAAGGAAGCTGCAACTTTGAGTGGCTGAGTAGTGGTTTCATGTTTGGGTGAGAGTGAAGATCAACAAGTTCCTACTCTTCTGAACTGTTTTTTTGCATCACGTCTCTCAATTATATCGAATATTGCAAAATCATATTAGCTACTTAACCAAACTGTAGGTGAAATGAAATGTATAACCAATGTTATAATAATCACAAAGCATGTGGCATATAAAGAATTCACAGGAGAACACAGAAATATTTGTGAGATGTTCCAGGCCTAAAAACTTGAGTAACCATAAACATAGCCTTAACTGTAAAACAATCACAACAAGTGAAATCCAAATCTCCCTGAAAAATATCATACCTTTGCGGTCATGGTTTTGAGTTCTGAATCATCGGTATAACCAGAATTGAATGAATCCTCTGCAATATCATCACCAGAGTCCCCATTCTCATGATCTTCAAAACGATCGTAAGAAGATGATGAATCACTCGGCAAATCCTCCATCTAAGATCAACTTGAAGTCCTATAATGTTTCCTAGAGAAGCCAATACCGGAGAAATTGCTGAAAACCACAGCCCAGATGATTATTTCTCCTGTTCTTGAACCAGAACAGGAGAAATGGAGATGACAGGAGAGAGAAAAAAGAACAAAAATCAGCGAGTTTGTGAGAAGAAACGGGAGGTTCGGAGTTCCAGAATTCGAAAAGAAAAGCTCAAATTTGGTGCAAAACTTTGTCTCCATTTCCGATGGAAAAGATGGAAAAAAAAGGGTGAACTATGCTTGTTTGGACTGTAATGCCGGCCTGTGCATATATATTCCTTGTGGTTTCTTCCTTTGTTTATTACGCGGGAAAATAAGCCGAGGTATTCAAAGACGCGGGCGTAAGATGTACATTTCCTCCCTCAGGTTAAAACCCATAGAATTAATTTTAGGGTGTGGTTTCTATATGGCTCCAATCTGAAACAATCCAATTAAGACGCGCCTCCAAGTTTTTTATAATGTATAATTTTGTTGTAAAAAATTATTAGGATTATTTCAAAATCTATTTTCATAACTAATTATAAAATTTAAATTTCAAAAATGATCAAAATTAAGTAGATCTATAAATATATGAAAATCTTTAAAAAGGACTATGTTGCAAGCTGCACTATTTCTGGGACTCAAAATCTTTTTTTTTTTTCTTTATATTCATACATCTTGATGTCGAGATGATCAATTAGAAGGTTTTTCAATATCGAAACAACATTCTCCAATGGATTTTGAGGTGCACCTGTAATTCTACATTTTAGGACTCAAACTTGAAAAAAGTTTAGATATGGTTGCAACCTTAAATGTAGAATTACAAATCCATTTCAAAAATTTATCAGAAAAGGTTGTTTTAATGTTGACAAACCCTCTAATTGGTTATCTTGACATCGAAATTAATAAATATGAAAAAAAAAAATATTTTAAGTTCCAAAAATAGTGTATCTTGCAACACGTTATCTAGACCGTTTATTTTCAATATTTTCATATGTTTATAGATCTACTTGATTTTAACCATTTTTCGAGTTTATAATTTTATAATTAAATATAAAAATACATTTTCATATAATCTTAAGAATTTTTTACTCTAAAATAATATGATATAAATTGGATTGTTTAAGGTTTCAACCTTATGAAAACCACACCCTTCAAATTTTGGGGATATATAACTTCTTCAACCTATAGATTTTTCTCAATAAAATTTTTTTTCTTAATTGTACCCTCTAGACACTTTGAAAAAAATAATATCTCAAAATTGAATAGAGACCGTCCAATTTGTAGGTAGTGAGAATTAAGCAGTAGAAAATCAATTTTCAATTTTCTTTAGAACAATCATCTAATAATTCTTTAGTCGTTTCCAAAATTTCATATCCTAAAAACCTTCCCAAGGAGGTTTTCTGGCCGAGGGATCAAAAGTAAGCTATGCCCCCGAGGGAGCATAGTATACATGCTCGCAACACCCTCAATTATATGGATGTGGAACTTAGGCATAAATAATTGAAAATCTTAAAAATAGATGATTGTTACAAAATAAAATACTATCAGAACTTGAATTTGTTTTTCATATCCATGCATTTCGATGATGTGATTATCAATTCGAGAGTTTTCCAACATCAAAACAACATGGTCTAATGGGTTTTTTGAGGTGCGACTTCCTTTTACTGTAAATATTTGAACCTGATGTAATTTTTCTTCAATAGAACGAAAACACTTTAAAGGAAAATGAAGAGACCAACTTCACCAAGCTAGCTAAAAGATGTCAATTTTAAATAATCATAGTGCACCTTTTAAATCTGGTTAGTTGATGCAGTTTTGGTGTCAAAAACCTTACAATGACTTGAAAGTTTTTTATCTCTAATAATGAAGTTTAAAGCTAAAAAAATGATGGAGACCAAGCATATCTATAAATGCTTAAAAATATTAAAATGAATGATTTAAATAATAAATTACAAGATACTATTTTTAGAATATGAACTCTCTTTTTTTTTTTCCATATCCTTACATCCCAATGTCTATATGCTATGGTTACAAGATTAACACCTTAGAGAAGCTTTTTCCTTGGATAAATACGTATTCATTGTGATAAAATTATGAGAGAGAGAGGTTTTGGGGCAAAGAGAAAATTAAGTTACCCGAGATTTAAGCCTGAAGTAGAGAGATTTTTTAGTCCTTTATTTCATAAATAACTTTTTTAAATGAGAAAAAATTTTCACGTGAAAATATTTTCAAAAAAATATTTTTCACGCATACCGAACGTGCTCTAACGAAAAGTGATTTATGCATCTACCAATGCCTAAAACATCCATCTTATGGATCTAAAGTGGTGGGCCTTCCAATAAAATAAAATCCAAGGGTCTAATTTTTTTTTCAAAATATTATCATTTTTAGTTTTCAAATTTATTTAATTATACATATTAATGATCTCCATGTTAGATATTATATATTCGAAAAAATTAAGTTTAAAATTCATCTCAAAGAATGGATCATGAAGAGAGGACACATATCTCATATGAATCAGTGGACTAATTTAATCGTGTCCTTTTTCTAAAGATACATATACTGTCATTGTTCTAGATTTCGGATCTTGAACAAGTGATTGCAGTTTTATCATTTAATTCTACTTGAGGTTCTTGAGCCTAATGATGTTTAACAATTATCTTTCCCTTGAAATTACTTCTTGTGGTATTGGTTTGCAACCTTGAGTAAAGGACGGCATTTTCATTATTTTTCTCAAGGCATAATCTAAATGCCTATTCCAAATGATAAAAATACTCCATAAGCTTTAGTAAAATCAAATGATGAAAATACCCTCACTTGAGTTGCAGAATATGAAGAATTTAGACAAATTTTAGAACATTCATTTGAAGAAGTACTTGAGTTAAGTGAATTTTGACTTCTTGTAAAGTACACATCTAGACTAAAGTAAGATGCCGGCAAATTTGAGGGAAGCCTTCAGGTGTAATTTTTAAAATTAAAAATCAACAATAATATATGGAATTAGGCCATAGCATTGCTATTATATTCTTATTTTTCAATTTTTCTACTCCCCATTTTTATTGGGGTGCGCAGTTGGCATACAAATGCATCTGTAGCTATAGAGGTAAGGTGCACTTTCAAATTTTATTATGGTATATAATTTTGATGTAAAATGTCCTTAGGATTATTTCAAAATTTATTTTTATATCAAATTACAAAATTTTAAATTTCAAAGATGGTTAAAATCAAGTAGATCTATAAACATATGAAAATCTTGAAAATGGACAGTGTAGATAATATGTTGTAAAATACACTATTTCTAAAACTTAAAATATTTTTATTTTCATGGCCGTACATCTCGATGTCGAGATGATCAATCAAAGGGTTTTTCAATATTAAAACTACTTTTTCCGATGGATTTTTGAAGTGCATCCGTAGTTCTACATTATAAGGTTGCATCCTTATATAAACTTTTTCCTTTCTATTGTGTCACTTATTTTTTTCAAAGAAAAGTAAACCATGAGACTATTTACCTTTGCTATAAAGGGATCACAATTAATCTTAATCATGGCATATTTATTCTATTGACCAAGCTTAAAGTTCGAAAGAAATTTATTTTGAACTTTGTGATACATTTAAAGGTATCAGATTTCACATTAGATAGTTGTAACTTGTAAGTAATTGTAAACTCCTTGTACCAAAAGTAAATGGTCTCATAGTAATGTCGCGACTTTGTCATCAATGGTGTCGGCATTAAGTTCGTATAAACCTACTTTTTCTTCCCAAATAAACAAAAAACTACAACACACTACAATCTGACGGACTGTAATTCCATATTAGGTCCATATTAACATGGACTGTATCAACATCGTCCATGGAAATGATGCATGGTGATAAAGAGATAGCGGAACCACGAATGGTTCGTGATCTCTTTCCATAACCAATCCATTATCTTGATGGACAGTGCAACTGATGACAATGCACCCAAGTCTATCCATAATCAATAAGAAATATACATACCCAACCAGTGTTTCTATCCATAATCAATAAGAAATATACATATACGCTCCCAACCAATGTTTCAAAACCCGAATCAGTGGGGCGGATCATTGTGTCGAACTGCTAGGTCAACAATGCCGATTGGATCCGTTCGAATCAAAATATAACAAAATTAAAATTAAAATAAAGGTTTATGGGTATGGATTTAAGGGGACCTAAAAAAATATAAGATAAGCTTAATAAAAAAAAATTATGAAATGGAAAGAAAATATAAAAAAATTAAATTAAATTAAAATTAAGGTTTATGAGTGTGGATTTAAGGGGATCTTAAAAAAAAAAAGATAAGCTTAATAAAAAAATAAAAAAATAAAAAGTTATGAAATGGGAAGTTTTAGGAGGGAATCGGGTCGGAACCCATCCCATCCTAGAAGTGATTTGGTCGCAACCGATTCCCATCTAAATTAGCGATACGGATTGCAAATCACCTGGTTTTAAAACATTGCTCCCGACCTGAAAAAAACTCACATTAGCATTTTATGAGCTACATAAACATACGTACACATGGGTTGCTATAAACATAAATGATCATGGGTTGCCACAAGCCGAGAAACACGAGCGCGTGCAGGCACGGAGACAGCATTACCTTGTTTGAGAGCACAAACAGTAAATGAATACAAAATATTTTTTGATTGATTTGGTGACAAAGTGCCCAATGTAGGAATCAGGCTTGAGTCGAGGCGATAGCGGTTTTCATAGCACTACGACTCAAGTTCCAATCCTATGAAATCTTATCAAAAAAAAAAAAATCCCCAATGTAACAGATTTCTTTAGCATAAGATGCATGATTTATATACAAAAATTTATGATAAGCACAAACATACAACACCACGTTTGAGAGGCAAGCACCACCAGAAAGTATCTATCAACATCACGTTTGAGAGGCGAGCACCACCAGAAAGTGTCTATCAACATCACGTTTGAGAGGCGAGCACCACCAGAAAGTATCTATCCCCACCATTCAAGCAATGTTGGAGTGGGCCACCT